TGATAAGAATTCCCATAACTCAGAACTAATCTCCAGGAAGTTTAGTATTTTCCAAGTATGTACTTCAACATCCAAAGAGCCTTCAAGTTGGGAGATTATGGCACTGATCTTCAAAACATCTGGACTGTACTTAATTGGGAAAAGTTGCATTAAGTGCTGTGTAAGGTTGTTGTATGCAAACATATGTATATCACTGGAAAGATCTAAAATGTCAATAACCTTATACAAGACCTTAGTAACAGTTGCTTCCCAACTCTTGGGTAGTTTTCACATAAACTACACTTTCATAGCAGTTTGGTCTGTTCCTCTTTTTTTCCAGTACATCTTTGATGTTAAGAAGGTGGAGGACAAAGTCTTGATCTCCCTACAGCAGAAGGACCAACGGATTCACAGGAAAGAAGGGGCAGGAGATAACCTTGTTATTGGCTTTGAGATTTTCAAGGTAGGTCTCCATCCACCCATACTCAAAACAATTGCCCTAAAGAATGTAATGTATCTTGTATTTTTGTGCTTATTGTTCACGTGGTAGATCCAGCCATAAGATCTGCCTTCATGTACAGGTAGATCTCACTTAGCCAGGCCTTGTTCAGCAACTAAAGTTACAACAATGCTAAACGAATGGGACTTACAACTGGTCCTTGAAGTATCAGCTGTTGCAGTGTCCCCACAGTCACATGATTGTGACTTAGATACTTGACAATGACAATGGTTACTGCATCCCGCAGTCATGTGATTGCTAACTGTGACCTTCGTTACTGGCTTCCAACAAGCAAAGTCAATGGGAAGTCCAGCAGGAAGTTGCAAATCATGGTCACAGGATGTCATGCTTTATGACCCCATGGGATTTATTTAAGAATAGCAACCAGAAGTGTCATTACAGGTCATAGATTTTTCTGCTCAATGATTAAGTTGCTATTTCCAATTACCCATAGTTAAGCAAGGACTACCTGTGAGATTACTTTCACATATCTTTGCATCCAGTTTTGGTCACCATAATATGAAAAAAGATGTTGAGACTCTAGAAAGAGTGCGGCGAAGAGCAACAAAGATGCTTAGGGGGCTGGAGGCTAAAACACATAAGGAACAGTTGCAGGAATTGGGCTTGTCTACTCTAGTGAAAAGAAGGACTAGGGGCAACATGATAGCAGTGTTTCAATATTTGAGGGGCTGCCACATAGAAGAGGGGGTCAACCTATTTTCCGAAGCCTCTGAAGGCAGGACAAGAAGTAATAGATGGAAATTCATCAAGGAGAGAACCTACCTAGAATTAAGGGGAAATTTCCTGACAGTGAGAACAATGAACCAGTGGAATGACTTGCCTCCAGGAGTTGTGGGTGCTCCATCACTGGAGGTTTTTAAGAAGAGATTTGTCCAAAATGGTGTAGGGTTTCCTGCTTGAGCAGGAGGTTGGATTAGAAGACCTCCAAGGTTCCTTCCAACTCTGTTATTCTGTTTCTATTATTTCCTGAACAGCAGTTCCTGAGTGCAGTTGAGCTTAATTATTGGAATCCAGCATACGACAATAGCCTTTGACAAGCCAACTCCCCTGTGAATGAGAACATGCCAAACCTACATTTGTTTTCCAACCTTAGGTGGAGGATAACCGAGAATATCGCTTGCACCAGTTGAAAATACAAGAGAGAATAACTAACTTCACCTACCTGAACAATCGCATCATGTATCTGAAAGTGCTTCTCAAGCAAGGCCGGTATCTTTTGACCCCAACCACTTTTTCTCCAAACACTGAAGGGGAATTTATTCTGAGGCTCTTCACGGATGTTCCATCAGCACTTAGGTACTAATTCAGCATCTACCATCTGGCAATGGTCTAGGGCAGGGGTAGGCAACCTTGGCTCTTTTATGACTCGTGGACTTCAACTCCCAGAATTCCTGAGCCCGCATGGCTCAACTTGGAAACCTCTCCCTTTTCCCTCAGCATGGCCGGCTCAGGAATTCTGGGAGTTGAAGTCCACGAGTCATAAAAGAGCCGAGGTTGCCTACCCCTGGACTAGAAGACCATCAACATTCCAAGGTTTGGGTGCTTCATCACTGGAGGTTTTTAAGAAGAGACTGGACAGTTGTTTGTCTGAAATGGTCTAGGGTCTCCTGTTTGAGCAGAGGGTTGGACTACAAGACCTCCAAAGTCCCTTCCAACTCTATCATTGTTGTTGTTGTTGATAGGACTTTTTCTCTTCCCCATTTTGCTGGCCCTCACCGAAACTTCCAAACGTTTGATAAAGGAAGACTGACACACTGCACGAAGGAAGCAAGATGTTCATGGAATTGTAGTGAACAAGATGAACACTGCAGACACTTTGGTGGTGACTGCGTTTTGTGTCTGTGTGATGAAAACAATATGTATTGACTTCCTGCAGTTTTCATTCACGTTAGGGCACATAGGCTCCACATTGCAAAGTAATCAGTGGTAATTCAGTAGATAGCTAGGTGATGCCATGGAATGACAACCGTTGTTCGAAATCAGTCATCTACACAGTATATGAGTTGTAATTTTTTATCATAAATAGCTGTCTAATGGCTTACGGACAATATCTGGAGTGATTGATAAAGGAAAATATTTGTAGCTCAGGGCTGAAATGAGGGATCCTTAGTGCTCTCTGACCTTGCTTGTTTTCTTGCAGACATTTCATCACCCAACTAGATAATATCATTCATTCTAGTGCAGACATGTCAAACACAAGGCCCGGGGGCCGGATGCGGCCTGCGAAATGGTTTCATGTGGCCCGCAAAGCCATCCTGAAAACAGCGAGGGAATGGCCCCCGCTGCCTTGGCCCTGGCCCAGGCCGGCCAGGAGCCAATGTACAATTTTGTGGTGGCCATCTATGCTGAAACGCATTCAGTCTTAGCTCCCCAAGGCTGTCTGGAAACAGCGAGGAACCAGTCCCTGCCGCGTCGGCCCCGCACCCTGGGCGCATGCTGGGGAGGTGTCACCCTTTGTGAGGAATGAAGAAATGGCCCATGCCTTGGCGCTTGCCCCGGTCCCCCCCCTTCTGCCAGAGACCCTCAGATCTGTCCCACTCCTGCCCAGGCCCCCACAGGCACCCTTGACGCAAACGATGTAGAGCTGGCCATGCCCACCCAGTAGGCCACACCCACTCCATCCACGCCCACCCAGTAGGCCGCACCCACCCTGGCCATACCCCCCCAGCCCCCCCGAGGGCAACCGCAATGCTGATGCGGCCCTCAATGAAATTGAGTTTGACACCCCTGTTCTAGTGCAAGGTCAGTGAGCACCAAGGAACCTTAATATCTGGAGTGACTCAAAACAATGAACCAAAATAAAACTACCATTATTGTGTATCATTTAGCAAATTTTATTTTTAGCCCCATATATATTAACCATATTAACAATCCTGGCTAATCCCTGGCTTGAACACATTATATGAACTAGGCTTTAAAGTTCAGGCGAAATGTATACATCTGCTAAGCTTTCTCTGCAACCTACATACCCATTTCACTTTGATATTTCAGGGAGCTGAAACTGAACAAACCCAGGCTGTCTTTCCTGGATATCCTGCTGGGTGTCCCTAAGAGGGTGTCCCTCGTTAAAGTCTACAGGGTGGAAGGACTCCAGAGTCAGAGCAGTCACGGGGGTAAGTCCTGCCAAAATGTTATCTGAGCAATGAAATGTCGAGACAAGCCAAAATTAAAAAAATGCATTCCTTGCTTCTAGTGCCCATCCACAGTTCACTGAAGGACTCATTACTTAGCTTCACCCGGGGCAAAGTTTTCCAAAAGTCTAACCACTTAGAACTCTCCATGTCTGGATTCATACTTACAGTTTCTGATGTAATGCAGAAATGAGCATGTGGCCATTTCAGTGGCACAAACTAGAACATACAAAAATAAGATTGGAAGGGACCGTGGAGGTCTTCTTGTCAAACCCTCTGCCCGTTGCAGGAGATTATATTCCATTCTGGACAAATGCCTCTTCTTGAAAACTTCAAGAACCCACAACTTCTGGAGGCAAGCAGTTCCACTGGTTAATTGTCCTCCCTGTCAGGAAACTCCTCCTTAATTCCAGGTTGGACCTCGCTTTAATAATCTTCCACCCATTAGTTCTTGTCTTGCCCTCAGGTGCTTTGGAGAATAGCTCGACCTCCTCTTCTCTGTGACAGCCCCTCAAGTACTGGAAGACTTCTATCATGTCAGCCCCCTACTCCTTCTCTTTGTTAGACCAGACATACCTAGCTCCCTCATTCATTCATCATACGGTTTAGCCTCCGGACCCCTAATCATCTTGGTTGCTCTTCTCTGCACT